GGCCCCAAAACTGAGCCCTGGGGAACACCGCTCGTGACCGGCCGCCAACTGGATTGAACTCCATTCACCACAACTCTTTGGGCCCAGCCATCCAGCCAGCTTTTTACCCAGCGAAGAGTACACCCGTCCAAGCCATGAGCAGCCAGCTTCTCTAAGAGAATGCTGTGGGAAACAGTGTCAAAGGCTTTACCAAAGTCTAGGTAGACAACATCCACAGCCTTTCCCTCATCCACTAAGCAGGTCACCTTGTCATAGAAGGAGATCGGGTTAGTCAAGCAGGACCTGCCTTTCATGAACCCATGCTGACCGGGCCTGATCACCTGGTTGTCCTGTACGTGCCGCGTGATGGCACTCAAGATGATCTGCTCCATAACATTCCCTGGCACCAAGGTCAGACTGACAGGCCTGTAGTTCCCCGGATCCTCCTTCCGGCCCTTCTTGTAGATGGGCATCACATTTGCTAACCTCCAGTCATCTGGGACCTCCCCGGTTAGCCAGGACTGCTGATAAATGATGGAAAGTGGCTTGATAAGCACTTCCACCAGCATAATATCGCATGTCATTATACAACAGGGATACTCAATTGAGGCTCAATTAAACTTCATTTGTGCCAAAAGCAAACTCCATAGTGGGTAGACCGCTTTGCATTCCACTGCTTTCAGTAAGATGTTGCATAGGCATCTGTCCAAATAAAAACACCTTTACAACACTGCAGGTTTAGAATGCAACAAATAACACACTGCAAGAATTGAGGTCAGACATTTTTCACCATTTGGTAACATTCCATTCAAATGATATTGACTCACATAATAAGTAACAAATGCAGCACTTGAAGTAACAAAAACAAAGCTGTACTCCAACAAAGTAAAACAGTGCAAATATTCCTGTTAAACAAAAATATACCATGTATATACACACACAACACAAATGCACTGTTTTGTTTTGCAGTATAAATAGATGTGATTAAGCTAAATTCCTAAAACTAATGAACTACTGACTGACAGTCCCAAACAGTTTCCATCTATAAGAATACAGTAAGCTTTAAGGATCAGATGACCGTGGCTGGATATGGCTACAAGAGAGTATCAAAAGATTTCACTGGATGGATATTTAAAATATTTTCTCTGTACATCAAAGTTAATAATATATATACTAACTTGGTATCACAAAGTCAGCTTGGGCTCTGATCATGCAAGGAGCAGCACACAGAAAACCCATGACTCTACAAGGAGCCTCAAGGCTCTACCTGTGTGGAATGCACTGTAAGGCTGCAAAACACTTAAGGCCCAATCCCAGGACTTAACAAGGGGCGAGCTTTTTAGCTGCCTATGCAGTTAACATGTTGGTTTAGTTTCCATTTTCTTCCTCTTCTGATTTAGCACTAGAATTCTGTTATCTGCTAATGACACATCCATTTATCCCTGAACTCTATAATACCATACAATGAGTATGCTTCTAATGAGTACACAATAAAAGTAAAAATTAGAAAGGGAAGAGATGGAAACTTGTTTTCTGTTACGGAAATCCTGATTAGGGGTTATTTGCATTTCAGCACTTTAAAACAGATTTTAAGCAAAATAAGTCTTTTTGGAATTAGATTACAGTAAAACAGACAAGTAGCACTTAATTTGATCTGAAGTGGAACACTCAGGCATTAACACCTCTTCAACTGCTATAGCCTCCATCTTCTTAATGCCAGGGCTGTGCTGCAACCATAACAAACAGCTGTTGCAAAGGCAAAAATCTAGAGGAGGAGCAGGGAAAAAGAGAAGAAAAAAGAAAAAAGTGAGTCACACATTATATTGGTCTGCATTTTTTTTCTATTCTAAATGAATACAGGAACACAAATGATTCAAAAGTTACCTCCCCCAGCCGAAATGCTTAAGGTAAAGATAGGTTTGGGATCCTCTGAAGTTTTCTTATGAACCTCTCTGTTATAACCCCACGTTATTGCTCTTAACTTACTTGCTTGCTTCAGAAGACATTTTGAAATAGAATATGAAACAGAATGTCTGCATAAGTTATGGTACAAAGTAATCGTGTGTGTATGTACACCACGTATTTCAGTTTTCTCTTATCTAGACTGACCAAACATTTATCTCAGATTTGTTTCCAAGTGAATGCCTTTACCAGCAAACCACTAAGAAGACATCCCTCGAAACAGCAGAACTCTTTTACTTGCAGAAATACAAAAACAGCTTCAAATCTGGCCTCCTTGATCAGATAACCAGCCATTAGAACAACTTCCTGAGAAACGCCAGGAAGTTGCTATTGCTCAAGAACTGAACTGAACAGATTTGAACTGAAGGCCATGCCACAGCAAACCTGAATATATAATGTAAACCAGAAGGAAGAAATGAGAAACTGAATTGCTGAAAAAAAATTTCTCATATTGTCCAGTGCTAATGATGGATTTTGTCTCTTAGAACATACGAATTCAATCATGTCTTAACAACCTATCCCTTGCTTTCCATACAAGTGTTAATTTGACAATTAAAGTTTTGAATAGATGCTACACTGTAGAACTATCACCCATATAAAACAAACATCTAGTTTTAATCACAGTATACAAAAGTAATTTTAAAAGACAGAATGTTAGCAACCTTTTATTTTTTTCCATGTAGATCACAGGACTGTTTTAATGAAGTGTTTCAAAGGATTACAATTTTTTTCTGTATATCCTGACTTTCTAATTATATACTTTTGGAAAAAATGCAGAGGCACTAAAGAATACAGTTATCTGATTCACCATTTCCCAGTATCTCTTAATTAAAAACACTGAGGCAAGTTACAAAAGAGTCTCCTTCTCCCCTATCTTGACAGGGATTTGAGGGGCTTGAAGAACTGAATTCTCCCTTGGAAAAATAGTATGGAAGGGGGAAAGGGTCTTTTGGAGTCCCCAGTATCCTGTTGTCAGGCAAAATGACTGAAGTGACCATATATTCAGTGAGATCTGAACACACTGAACAAAGATTGAAGAGCTGTACTTAAGGGTAGAATTTGAGATACTTGCTTAGTATAAAGCCCTCCCTTAGTTCAGGCACAGCTATGAGACACCACCTCTGTCCTTGTGCCGTATGGCCATACAGGGATCAGATGTGCTTGAGTGTGTTACTGGGAAGTGGGTAATGGCGAGGCACTCTGGACTTCGAGACTGACATGCCCACCTCACCCCTTCAGAGACTGGCTTGCCAAAGCAAAAGGCCTTTCCTTCTTATTCTCCTCTTGCAGAGAGCATGTGAACTTTACACGTTACATTAATCTGTTTTTATCTTCAGATGAACTGAAGGTGTTTACTGTGCAAAATTTATGGTGTATTTAGTTTTAAGGACAACAGATACCCACAGAAGGTTTTAGAAGCTTAATAAATATACACAGTTCCCTGAGGTATGCAAGACCCTCTGGATGGTACAAAAAAGAGCGAGCAGTAGTTTTGGTTCTTTAAGATAAGCCTACTGGCACACCTCTAAGTAGAGGGCACACCTCTAAGTAGAGGGCTGGATGCCCTTCAGGAGTCCAGCCAGGGAGAAAGCTAGAGCCTGGTATATTTTCTGACTCAGCTATGCACACCCACATCACCAGATACAGTGATTCAGTGATGATGCAACTACAGTGAGAAAAATGCAGTCTGAGCTTAGGCTATCAATAAAAGCACTCTAATCCTTGCCATAAGAGACAGCAGGGCCCTTACAGATAACTTCTATGCCTGATGTAGTAAGTACGTATCTGGAGCTTCACAAGGAGCTAGTCCAAGGTTTTTTTTCCCATGGCATATTCAGGACTATCTAAATGGTATAAAAAAAGCAACTGAAAGTTTGAGCACAGGCGTGAAATTCGCACCTGATGCTTTGATGAAGGCTCAGTTGCTACATTTTTCTTCTATTCTAATAACCAACATTGCTTTTACAAAATATCTTGTCTAAAAATTATAAGCTGTAGCGATCATATATTTAAAACACTACAGTGAAGAGTAGCAACTGAGCACCTATCACGTTAGCATCAGCTTATTTCAATATTTTTTGCATGTCACTGTTAGACACTATTTGCTGCTCTCAAAGACAATCCTTTCTCTCAGAGCTCCTCTTTCTACTCCAGCTTGCAGTTAAGTTCCCAAGTTGAATGGTTGGCTACAAGGACTTACAACAGACTTCTGTTCCCCAGATACAAATATATGAAATACATACCGAGGCTGCTATGCTTATGTTATATTCATGATCAGCTAGAATCTTCTCTTGTGTGGTGGAATTGAATTTGCGGGGAAAGTGATGCAGAGATGTAGTGGCTGCTTGCAGTAGAAAAGCTCCAAAATAAAAGACAAAAGTAACCCCATGGAAAAGAAAATCCTGAAAAGCAAATAACAGAATCAGTCTGGGCTGCAATACATATCTAATTCTTCTAGTCTCAGTACAAATGAAACCCAACATTGAAACATGAAACGAGCACTGATAACAATAAATTTAGATAAGCAGTGTTAAATCCATCCGGGAGCTTAACCTGGACATGTTTTCACAGCTGCTCGCAATTATAAGCAACTCACTAACATAATTAGTGATAAAGGGCAACTCTCCCTCTCCCCAAACCCTATATTCTTTCAAATTAAGAGGCATGTGCTCATCTATATGTACATATGTTGACCTTTTAGATCACTTTAAAGCTATTAGAGCTTACAGAACTCTCCCTTCATACGGCTTAGATAAAAAAGAAGGGACATACAGGCCAACTTTATCACAATTTAAGCAGTACAATACAAGCTTGCAGTCCCCCAAATCCCTTCTCAGCTATAACCTAAGCTCCAGAAGTCCCCCCTCCATGCTTAAATTTTGCTTCTGTAAATGCCCAGAAACACCTCAGCCTTGACACAGCTTAAGTTTACTTCCTGATACAATCAGAATCCAAGAACTGAGGCATTTCCTCAACTCTCTCTGACTTGGCTCTACCCAAAATACAGTAATTTGGAAGTACTTCATGATACTGTGGAATAAAACGCCTGAGACTTGAGAGGACCGGAGTTAGGATTTACTTTAAATATGCTTCTCTCCTGGCTTTCTCTAGGCGATTCCTTCCTCTGTGGTGAATGCTAGCTGAACACAAGGTTTAAACATCTAACTCTCATTTCTGGATTCTATTACTGGAGCACATGGAAAAGCAGCTCTGGTGCCTAAATCTCTTTGTGGGTTGTATTTCAGAGTCCGGTGTTCCACGCAACAAGATCCAAGACATGTTCCAGTACAGTTCTAAAATGTCTAAAATATTCTTCCAACATCTCCTCTGTTGTTGAGTCTGCAAAGCTGACACTTACACTGCACTCAGTTCCTGAGTCCATACAGCATATAGTTTGTACCTATACCTATGCAGGTCTGGAAAAGCCATAGACACAATTTGTAAAATTATACACAAGTATATGTACATTTTATGATATTCACGTTATATAGTCTATCTCCATGAATTCTTTATGCACTTTTAATTCACTTGAGTGCAATGGACTATCAGTATGCCAACAGTGAGAACCCAGGGTACACCATGTGTGAGTCCATCACAACAGCAGACAGCATTCATATGCACATGGTGTGTGCAACATCCTTACCTACTGACTGATATCAAAGTGAGAATGTGCTGCATTTCCCTGCTTAGTTTCTTCATAGATGTGAGATTTTCCTTTAATTGAAAGAATTTTCTTTTCAAACTCATCAGTTGTTCCATATTTGACAGCAGCTAAAGCTACTTAAATCACACCCTAGTCAGTTTTGGTAAGTTACGATATAAGCTGCTACTACAGTTTCCCATTCCACTTAGATCAGGAAATAATTTTCTCCTAATTAAGAATCATTTGATCATTTGAGGTTAGGTCATAGAGTGTACTGCTTTTCTTAATGACTGCTAATTACTTGGAATCCAAGTTTTGGCAAAACAGCTGCAGTAATTCCCAACTTCTGGTTTTCCATCCTGGCTGGGTTGTTGGGATTTTTTTCCATTTTTTAAAAACAATTACTTCCTCTTGGAACATCACCAGTAGGCCCCACTGACATCAACAGAACTGAGAAGATAAGGGAGCAGAGGGTGGCTTCCTGACCTAGCTGGATAGCCTTTATGTGCTAGGCCAGATCTCAAGCTTTGGGCATAAGACACATTCCCTCAGTCTCCAGCTCTGCTGTAACATCTGTACCTCATAGAAGAAAATAGTAGGGATCTACTCCAGCATGAGAGTGCTGAAACATTGGAGAAGCTGCAGTGCTCTGCTGCAGCTGGGGGAGGCACTTCTCCCCACCAGACACTGTTGTGGCTCCCCCCTGCTCGCTCGAGCTGGCAGACAGACATGCACATCTTTCATGCTACCACCTACGCGCACCATGTCAGACTGCATGCAGGTGTGTGTTCACTGTGTGACAAATACTGGACCCCATATCACAGCCTGACATACCCATTTCATAGCACAGGATTCCAGCAACTTGAAAGGTCTGTGTAAACCCATGGGTAATTAAGGACATCCATTATTCTTGGGCTGCTAAATACCTAGTGTGCAACCATGTCAGTGTTACCAGCTGTACACTTTTGGCACCACTGCTCATGAAAGAGCACAAATAGCTCCATGAGGAAGACAGTGCTGACTGCGTACAGGAGAGGTATTTTCAGAAGACAAACTCTTTCATTTCCTTCATTCTCCTGCCAAACCCTCTAATTTCCTTCTCCTGGCAGCAATTACAGTGAAGCTATGTAGCATCAGTAAGGTTTCACATTCGTATGGTTACGGTTTCTGTGACCAAAAAACCCAAGATCTTATGAGGGAGGGTTTTTTGTTTTTTAGTAATTGTTAGCATGGTGCCTAATTCTCCCTTGCCTCCACACTTGTATAACCATTGAAACTTCATACAAAGCATATGTAAAACACTACCAGATCTGCATGATACGTTAGTTCACATCTAATTTTGTAAATGAGTGTGTTATGAGTCAGGCCGTAAAGGACAGTATTTGTCATACCATCTGGTTTAATACAGTGAGGTACAGTGATGTACCTCCATAAGGTCCATATTTTCCCCCATCTTTTCACTGTGTAGCATCTTATTTTTTAAGTATCTGTATTAGTATCAGTGGAGCTACTTATGACGTAAGGTATTACTAAATGCAGGGCTGTGAGAATCCCATGCTATTTTGCAAACTTAGATTTAAACTCCTGGAGTCTTAAACCACATTTGTTCATGAATCTCTACATGAAGCTATAATACTCCAGTATAACTAAGCCATGACTCTTCCCATTTTTGACCTAATCTAATCACCTGTAGCTTCTGAGTTCTATTGTAAATTTAATTTATGAAATAGCAAAACACATGCATTTATCTAAATACATGCCAACCTAAAACAAACAGGTACACCTTTTTATTTATAGTAATAAAAATAGTTTTAGTGTTTCTAGTAATTATTTATTTGTAACAGAAGGTAAAAAATACTTGTGAAGTGCTGCTAAAGAGTTTAGTGCCAACAAGTTACAGAACATTTGGGTACCTGAAAAAATAGCGGTCAAATGATCTATCTACTGTTATTTTTGTTGACAGCTGTAAGGGACTGGATTTCAGCTACCATGTTAGAGATAAAACTATTCACTCTGCATTTGCTTAAGATGTTGACTTAGTTATGACAGCTTTTTAGATTACGTTTCAGAGTCCCACAGATGCATATGTCAGCAATTTCCTGACATAGGAAGTTTTTCAGTAGTTTATCATATACAAGGGGAAAAAAATTAACATTACAACAAATCACTGCCAGCATCAAGTAGCCAATGTGTAAGACACACTTACACAATTGTTATAAGATGAACATTTGTATAGCATTTTCAATCTATAAAAGGCTATGCTGTCACCCAGCAACTCTTAAATAGATGCATGATTGTAAATTGGCAAACAGTTTCAATGAAACCCAGGACACTATTAATTTACTTAAGTTATGCACATGCTCAGGGGCTTTGTTGCATCATAACTTGTGAGGATGTCACAGCATAAATCCCTGTAAAGGTCTCTGTAATTGTAACTCATTATTAGCCTAATTACTGCCTGTATTGTGCTGGAAAGCTGACACTGTATGTATGTGTATTCACTATCAAAATGCTAAAGTTTGTTTTAATAGAATCCAGTCTGTTACCACTGATGGGCTTTGAAGTTATCAGTTAGAGCCTCAAACTCATGAAGCTCTATGATTTGCTTTAAAGACCTTTCGTTTTAAGGGACTGTCTGTGAATAACTTGAACAGATAAGTAACCACAGATGTCGATACTGAAGCACGCAATTCCAGCTATAATCAAGAAAAGTGTCAACAGGAAAACTAAGCTGCATAGGAGGAAGGTGAAGGTGATCAGCAGTTACAAACAGCCATACTTTAATATTTTAGAAGTTCTGGACCTTTTTGAAGATTTTTTTGGAAATTCCCATTCTGATCACAGTTTTGCCACCTCTTATTATTCACTTCCAGTAATATAAGAGAGATTGATACCATCTCATGCTCAACTACTTGAGTGCTAAAAACTCAAAATAAAAACCAGTTAATGACAACAAAGGACTACATAAATTAGCAGTCAATAACCTGAGGTATCCATGTGGTTGGTAAAAACTGGAGCCAACAGCTTCCCTTTTTTAATAGGAAGGTACAGTCTGTGAGTACTACTGGCACATCCATTACAGCAAGAATCAAGTCTTATCTTCACAATGAAGAAAAGCTGAGCAGAGTATAATGATATCTGTAGTCTCACCAGGCTTCCTCTAAGAAAGATAAACGTTAAGTCTCCTAAAAAGATGTTAAGCTATATCATACTGCAGGTTATGCTGTCTTTGACTATCTAAGGTCTAACAGCCACTCACCAATGCTGCCCTAGCTTTAAGGAATTGACCCAGAAGTCAGCAGAAGACTTTCTTAGGAACTGGAAGAAACTTCCTGGGTGCTTTAGTCCAGTCCATGCTATCTCAGACAACCACATCACAAAATGCGTTCACAAAATGTGTCACTTCCTTTACAATATTAGATATATCTTTCTACACTTTATTATTCACAGGGTGTTACTTCTCCAATAGTCACAAAATATTTGCCGATTTCCAGTCCACAATTATTTCTGGCCATTTAAACCAATTTGTTATCATGCCTTGTTAAACTAGTCCTCTTCCTGCTGCTTATGCGTTTTACGTGCTCATGGAGGACAAGTATACTCCTTCAATCAGTTTCAAAAGCTGGGCTCTTTCAGCCTCCATCATAAAACAGGTCCTGTATTTCCTCCGTCATCCTTGTAGCCCTACTCTTTCTTTTTCCAGTTTTGAATTCCTCTATTTTGAAAAACTTCCCGCTAAAACAGAAGGCCAGGCATTAAGACTTAGGATCAGTACTTCTCATGAAGTGATTTTCAGTCTATAAAACAAAGGGAATCCTTAAATAAAGAAAAAAATCTTACCGTCTGGTTCCAGTTGACAGCAATTCTATTTGCATAACCAAAGAGGAACACACACAGGAACACAATGGACAGGAACCACGCAGTCACCGCTACAAACATTACCCATCCCTGCAGCAGCGGCAGTGGAATTCGGGTAGAAGCTACCAAAATCCAGACTATCGTTCCAAACAGCTGCAAGGAAAGGAATACAGATGATGAACTGAGAGATAACTTTTATTCAGTCCTTTCTGCCCAAGAACTAATATTACACATCAACACGTCCTCAGACTACTTTTAGGAACCAAGAGGAAACACTTCAAAAGTACTCAGAGAGCCCAAGTGTCGTTCTCAGAAATGATAGGCACTAAGTGGCGGTAAGACGAAGCCACTCTGAAATTCTTAAAAGCTCTTAAAATAGTCTTGAAAATGGGATTTACAAACCCAGGTGACTTGTGTGCTGCTGCTGAAAATTTTACCCTTACTCTCATTTTGAGGGAAATATAAGAATTGTGAGATGATGATTCGCACCTATACAAATCTCTCTATATATACTAAAGTTAGCATGACAAGGATGTACATCAGATTTGGATTCAATCTCATAGCGTTTAGTTTTGTAGTCCTAATCAGATGAGATACAGAAAAGACATGAAACTGCATCCTCTTTTTCAATGCATTTGTAATAAAATGCTGAAAGAGAACACATTAAGCAATAAAGTGAAAGAGAAAGCTAGAATACAGAATAAGGCGAGTTGTAAATTATGTTGTAATGACTAGAAAAACATACAGCTTTCCAGAATTATCATAACTCAGGGAAGAATTCAGCACCGCCAATTTTCTTTTCAGCATACTGCTCGCAGCGAATGAGTGGTGGGGATGCTGTGCTATGATGGACTGATGGAGAATTTATGCACTCTAAGGCTTGCCTGGTTTAATCAACTCTTGGCCTAACAAACGGTACTATCTCTCCCTGCAAATCCTGCTTCTTTATAAAAAAGGATAACTGGAGAAAATGGTAATTGCCATCTCAAGTACATTCATTTATTACAGAAAGCTGTACACAGAATCTTGTATTACAGAAAGCTACACAGCACAACCTGCTGTGTAGTGACAGCTACAATCAATTTCCAAGCAAGTTACTACTTTCCTGTTTAAATCCTAGAGATTTACAACTACAAAGTCAGAGGCTACATTTTCAGATTCAGAGAACTTTCTTTGGAATCAAGGTTGGATGAGAGATACCTTTCAAAACACGCCTGCTGTAAAATTAGTTGGTTCCTCTCTCGTGTTACATTGCAGCAGCATATATGTAAAGATGCATTGCTAGTCTCAGTTCAAAACTCCCAAGGGTTTATGTATTAGCCTTCAAGTTGTTCTCTAGGGTTCCTTTTTTAGCTGCTGTGAAGAACCAAACTTTCTCTAGTTTCACGAGACTGCAGGTGCAAGTCTGTTGCAACTCAGAGACCAGATACCGATGGGCAGTGAGGAAGCAGAAAGAATAGCAGAAAGTGTCTGTTAAACAAAAAGCAGAGACACGTGAAATGTTTTCAGTACTTTGAATGTGCAACCTTGTAGGCTTCTTTAAAAATAAATTTAGAAATTTACTGTAGAGACTGCTAATTTGAGCGCCTACTGTCATGCCATTTCCCTCATACTACACCCGTCCACTTCAGCTCGGCTGTCAGATGTATAATAGGTTGGCCAACCTAATTAACCTTTTGTCCCTACTGACTCAGGGCCTGATTTAATGCCTGGACTTGTGCTCTGAGCTCTTTGCTTGGGCGCATGCAGTTTTACACTTGCAGGGTGGGATCCATCTCACAGACTGGGACCCAAGCAGTATTCAGCTCTGACCCCAAGAAAAAAAATATTAATAAAATCAGATGAGTTCTGCCAAGGTTTTGTTTTGTTTTGTTTTCTCCTACTAATTAGTGCCACAGTTCTGCAGAGACTCATACTCAGCTCAAAGGTTCTCAGCCCTACGTACACCAGTAAGGTTCTTACACGCACATGAAATTAAACATACTTGTAGGAGTCTGCATAGGACCCGTAACACACGCACACAGGCAAAAAACAGTGTAACTCTTCATGGTGGATTTTTGGGCCTGGGATTCTGTGTGGCTCCCCACCTCTATA